CGGCTCGACGCGGGCCTCAAGGTAACCGCGGCGGCCGGTGGGGGGGGGGGAGACGACGCGACGGGCATCGTCGTCGTCATCATCATCACCCTCCACACCGACACAACAACCACCACCCCACCCCCCTTCGTCCCCACGCCAGCCCAGACACCCTCCCCCACCCCAAATAAAATCTCAGCCGCGTCGCCACCGCCCCCCTCGTGGTTGCCTCCCGCTCTGCAGCTGCGTGATGATGATGCTGCTGATGATGTTGCTGCTTATGATGTTGCTGTGCCTGCTGATGATGCTGCTGCTGATGATGCTGCTGCTTATGATGCTGCTGTGCCTGCTGATGATGATGCTGCTGATGATGCTGCTGCTTATGATGCTGCTGTGCCTGCTGATGATGATGCTGCTGATGATGGTGCTGCTTATGATGCTGCTGCTGCGCCTGCTGATGATAATGCTGCTGCTGCTCTTGCAGGAGGATGATGCTCCTGCTGATGATGCTGCTGCTTATGATACTGCTGTGCCTGCTGATGATGATGCTGCTGATGATGTTGCTGCTTATGATGCTGCTGCTGCGCCTGCTGATGATAATGCTGCTGCTGCTCTTGCAGGAGGATGATGCTCCTGCTGATGATGCTGCTGCTTATGATGCTGCTGTGCCTGCTGATGATGATTCTGCTGATGATGGTGCTGCTTATGATGCTGCTGCTGCGCCTGCTGATGATAATGCTGCTGCTGCTCTGCAGGAGGATGATGCTCCTGCTGATGATGCTGCTTATGATGCTGCTGTGCCTTGATGATGATGCTGCTGATGCTGCTGCTTATGATGCTACTGCTCCTGCTGATGATGATAATGCTGCTGCTCTTGCAGGAGGATGCTGCTGCTGCTTGTTGCGTGCTGCTCCTGCTGATGATGCTAATGCTGCTGATGATGCTCTTGCAGGAGGATGCTGCTGCTGCTTGTGTGCTGCTGCTTATGATGCTGCTGTGCCTGCTGATGATAATGCTGCTGCTGCTCTTGCAGGAGGATGCTGCTGCTGCTGATGATGATGCTGCTGTTTCTGCTGCTGCTGTTGCTGCTAATGCTACTGATAATGCTGCTGCTGATGATGCTGCTGCTCCTCCTGATGATAATAATGCTGCTGCTGCTCTTGCAGGAGGATGATGCTGCTGCTGCTGCTGTTTCTGCTGCTGCTGCTGTTGCTGCTAATGCTACTGATAATGCTGCTGCTGATGATGCTGCTGCTCCTCCTGCTGATGATAATGCTGGCTCTTGCAGGAGGATGCTGCTGCTTGTTGTGTGCTGCTCCTGCTGATGATGCTAATGCTACTGATGATGCTCTTGCAGGAGGATGCTGCTGCTTGTGTGCTGCTCCTGCTGATGATGATGCTAATGCTGCTGATGATGCTCTTGCAGGAGGATGATGCTGCTTGTTGTGTGCTGCTGCTGCTGATGATGCTAATGCTGCTGATGATGCTCTTGCAGGAGGATGCTGCTGCTGCTTGTGTGCTGCCCTGCTGATGATGCTAAAATGCTGCTGAATGATTGTCTTCTTGCAGGAGGATGGATGGCCTGCTTGTTGTGTGTCCTGCTAGCTGAATGAGATAATGCTGCTGCTTGTTGTGTGCTGCTCCTCCTCTCCGGGTGGCTTGATGCATTGATTAACATGCTGCTGATGGTGCTCTTGCAGGAGGAGGACTGCTGCTGCTGCTTGTTGTGTGCTGCGTGCTGCTGCAAACGCGCGATGAGCAAGGGCCTGGCATTGCAAGGGCAGCGCGTAGCAGGCAGGGCAAGCTGCCCTTAGCGGCTCGCTCTCCCCTTGCTGCTCTCTCCTCTCGTCTCTCCTCGCTCTCTGTTCCTCTCTCCTCTTGTCCTCTCTCTCTTTCCTCTCATCCCTTTATACTCGCAGAGATCGAGAAAGGAAAGACGCGGACAGCAAGAGCCACGGCCGCTGCTTGCAAGGCCGGCCTGAAGGAATTGCCATCTATTTGTTTATTATTTGGAGATTGTGTCGTGCGATCCCATCGGCTCGCTCCTCACCATCATCTGACAGGGGGGTGGCGGTGGGAGGGGGTGGGTGATTAATAATACACGAGGATGGGTTAATGAAAACTACACGCTAATGGATTGTAATTGAAATGCATTGTGTTCGTATTGCCGTGTAGATCCGAATTAAATATTCAAAACATTGCTCAATAACATTGCCCTGAAGAGGACAAGTGGCGTAATTGGTGACGTTTCGGGCAATCGTCGTCCTTCAAAGCGGAGGCACAGAGAGGTGGCCACACGGGCTTGAGTGATAATAGTTGGGAGAATGCATTCGTATCCACCATGGTGCCCTGGTAGACAATTTTCTTTTCAAGGCCATTTATTTTTTATTGTAAAATAAATTTATGATAGAGATAACCTCTCTGTCTCATATGAAGAAGGGGCTAATGCCCGAGATGTCATGTAGTGTATATATATATATATGTTTTCCTCTTGAGGGTAGTGTTATTGACGAATGTCTAATATGAGCCACCTTCTGATATACCTATGACGATAAACTTGACACGTCAATAACACAAAGAGGCTTTAAAAGGAAAATTATGAAAAGCAGGCGACGTTTCGGGCATTAGCTCTAATCTTCACAATACGTAGAGAGGCCAGAGATAGAGTTTAGTTTTATTGTTAATTGTGCTTGTGCCAATGCAGCAGTAACACCATTTACATGGTTTAAATTATATAATGCCATTATATTACGTTTACATCCAAATTGGTATAATAATCAATCAGCTGCGCTCAGTCCACTTCTGGATGAAGGCCTCCCCGTGCCTACGATGTCAGAATCAGCATCTTTATTCAGACTGGAGGAATCCGATGAGCTATGAATCTCTTTTGTTTTCTACAGATGCCCTGTGGGGACGCGTCAGGAAGTTACAACAATACAAAATATAAGAATAGGTTTGACCCTTTCTGGCAATGAAACAGGTGTTAAGATGTTAAAACACCAAACTGAAACCTTTTGCAAGGAATCCTGTCTGCATGAACCACATATACTATGAGAGCATGTGGTTTTTTATGCATGTTCACAACTATATGTGGTTAATGCAGACATGATTCCTTGCAAAAGGTTTCAGTTTGGTGGTTTAACATCTTAACACCTGTTTTATTACTCTTTGGTTCTTTCGGTAAAGTCACGTAGGTATAAAATAAAATAAATTAAATCAGGACGTTTCAGGCGCAACACAAGCGTCCGTCATCAGGTGGGACAACCGCAGCAAGAAACAATTGCTGAAGTGGGCAAAAGGGGTGCTTGTATCAAGAGGCCATATAGGTAAGGGGGGGTGGGGGGTAAAACCTATTCTGAAATTTTGATACTAACAATATAAAACCGATAGGAGTGCAAAAACACCAATAGGAATGTAACAATCCACATCGAACCCGCACATCAACTGATTCCATTGCTCCATCTCCTCAGGGGACGTGATGTCTTGACGCATTGCATCCGTTCAGTAACAATAATTAAGATGAAAATTATATTATAATACTATTACTCTATTAGAAAACTGTTTTGCTGGCAGGCAGGAGGGAGGGATGGGCAGTCACGTCCACAGGATGTGTGGGCTGCCAGTTGTTTTAAAGATTATAACACGGCAATCCATTTATAGACACCTCACTAAAATAATAGCGATAAATTTGAGAAATATATATTTGATTCCAAAGCCTCTACTCGTCTCCCACCAGTGCACGTGCATTCAGTATTTTAACTCTCTCCCCCATCGCTTTCACGATGTTGAGAATGCCTTAATCATCAGCTGTGATCAATCTCCTGCTGGACAAATGCCTTCCCAAGCTGTGGCGGTCCCCTCTTAGTTCTGCGATTCAGTAGTCGGCCCTGCACTTGTACATGAGCCAGTCCCATCGAATCCTATCTCCCCGCTGGCTGTCTTCTTTGGCCGCAAACCCTCCTTTGGCCGCCACTCAGTAGTTATTCTCGCCCACCAGCCGTCCTCTCGTCTAGCCGATGTGCCCACTTTTCTTAACGGTCAAGAATTTCATCTTTAACGGACGCATGAATAATATATCCTTCGTGATAATATTTCGTGAGCCATGTTCTGATGGGCTCGTGTGCTGGATTGTTGCACCGCAGGACTGTGGGAGATGGCGACGGTTTGGGGGTGGGGGTCATCATCCAGCAGCGGATTGGTCACAGCTGCTGCTGCTGCGCCGGATGCTTGTTTATCGTATTGTATCTCAGCTGTAAACATTGCAGGCCGCTGCGTGATCATCTGGTTTTGTTGTCGGTGTGTGCGTGTGGCTCCTTGTTTCACGATGTATGTCACCCAGCCACATCAGCAAATTATTGACAGCTGCAGCACACAACAACAACAACCGCTACAACAACAAAGCGGCAAACAAACAGGAAGAACTTTAGGGTGGTGGGTGTGTAGGGAACGGTGGGGTGGGGTTCAGTGGGGGGTGTGGGGGGTGGTTAGGCGAGTGGTGGATAGAAAGAAAATCAAATCAATGCGCGCCTAACGCCAATGATTTAATAAAAAAACAAACGGAACCGGACAAAGATGCGGCGTTTTCTTTCCCGCGGATGACATCAAAGGAGCGCGGGTGATCTATAATTGGTATGCCGCGTGGCACAGCCATCCTTGATGGAGTGGGCACATCAGCAGTATCTGTGGCCTGAGTCAGCCAAAAAAATGCCGCTATTGACAGCCTTGTCTGCGGCAAATATTGGCACGGGTGACAAATGGCTCGTCTTCGCTCATATTTAATTCCGTTCTTGTTTACCCGTTAAGAGCTATCACTTTGCGTTTCTTGTTTTTTTTCCAGGCTTCCTTCCATGGGGGAGGCTGGGCGTGTGATGATTAGACTCTTATAAGCTGGGTTACGGTTGTGGGGTGGGGTGGTAGCGGTTGACGGTGGTGGGTGGATGGAATGTATTTATCTTTTTTGTTTATTTTTTTTCGGTAAACAAGATTAAATCGGCTGCGGTGTATCGCGAGGAGCCAATCGTAGATCACGGACGGCCTCGGCCGTAATCCGTTTAGGCTCGGCGGCGTGCATTTGTCACATCTCTCAAGTGAAGGGGGCCATTACTGCGCGATGGCGGGTATTATAACGCGTCCGATCGTGGCGGCACGTGAGCGGGCGACGAGCTCATTGGAAGCGACACGTTCTCACGGTGTGCCGAGCCGCTCCCGAAACACTTAGGCGAACAACGCATGTACGCAGACGAATGGACGAGTGAGCGAGCGAACAAATGAACGGACGAACGGACGGATGGCAAATGTGGTGCCAGATGGATCTGTGCAGGGCCCTCCCCTTGCCTCCCCTCCACGTAGCGAACCTGTGATTAATTAGAGGCTGCGAATTAAAACATCACAGTGCACACGGCGCGAGCAGAACGCCTGTCTGCCTGTCCAAGTGTCGGCACAAGTGTCATCTGGCTGTCTAGCTGAATGTCTGTCTGACCAGCTGGCTGTCTTGTCTGTCTATAGGACTGTTCGCCTGTCTCTTCATGTGTTTGGCTTTGTATCTATGTATCTATATCTGCCAACATGTATGGTTACTTGTCTGCCTGCTTGTTTGTCTATGTATCTGCCTTTCTACTTCTATGCACATATCTGTCTTAATATATATCTCTGTGTACGTAAACTCGTCAATTTATTTTGTGGTTTGCCTCTCTGTGTGCCTGTCGGCCTACTGGTCTGTCTACTTACTAATGTGTCCGTCTCACTTTCAAATTGTTTACCATCCAACCTGCCTCTCTGTCTTTGTCATTACATTTCTACACGTCTTGGCCTGAATATAATTTTTTTTATAGTTGTTAGCCTGCATGTCTTTCTGTCTGCCTTCCTTTTGCGCACCTGTCTGCTCACCGGTCTGCCTCTCCATCTGTCCGTGTCACCTCTGATGCCTCTACTCGCAACCACAAACCTCAATTCAAGTCACTGGCATTGGCTGCAGAGGCAGGGTCTGGCTTTCACTCTCGTTCATCTTTCCGTTTGTGTCTCTGCCCATCTGACCCATTATTCCAGCCACCTGTCTGTTTGTCCCTCCATGTGTCTGTCTGTCTATCTGTCTGTCAGTTCCACCCCCTCCCACCCGATGCCTCTTCTCGCTCGCGCACGCCTCTGCAGCGCTGGTTGTGGCTGCAGCGCGATGCTCGAGCGTTCACACTCAGATAAATCACGGGGGCAGCCGCCACGCACGCACGCCACGCGCCCCATAAATCAGCCTCCTCTGCATTTGGTCGGACGTCTTTATTTAATTACACGGCGGCATGCATCCGCATACCCCACGGGCGAGTGTTTCTCCGTGATTATGAAAGGGATTTCATTTTCGGAACGTGCGTGTTTGTGCTTGTTTGTCTCTTTGCACCTTCCTCCACCACCTCTTTGCGTTTGACCTCTGACCCTTACAATCATAACACCTCACTTATTTCCCTCCCTCTCTCTCTGGATCCCTCCCTGTTGACCCGGACTCCATGACCCCCGCTAGGAGAGGAGTGAGGAGAGGGACAGCTCCCCCGAGCCGTCCCCCATGCGGAGGCAGCGATCCGAGGAGCCCCCGTCCCCACGCCACTGCTCCCCGCCAGCGCTCGCACACGGATCCATCGAGCGACTCGGTGGGTCACGTGGGCGCACACGGGCCCCTCTACCGGGTAACCTGGGTGCTAGTGGGCATATTCTACGGGTCACTTGGGTCCTAGCAAGCATATCTACAGGGTCATCTGGGTGCTAGCAGAATATCTGCTCGCGGGTGCCTCAACCAGGTAACTTGAGTGCTCACGGGCATATCCACCCGGTCACACGTGCTCTAGCAGACACCGCTACTGGGTCACACGGGTGCTAGCAGGCACCTCTACTGGGTCACCTGGGTGCTAGCGGGCACCTCTACTGGGTCACCTGGGTGCTAGCGGACATTAATTCTGGGTCACCCTGACATCTAACCTGGGTCATAAACTTCTCTCATGCGTCACAGGGATGCTATGGAACAAATGTGTTTGAGAACAACCTTTCTGGGTCAAGCGGACGTCATCTCACCTGGGTCACGCACATTCATACTGGTGGACATCTCACCCCGGTCACAAAGGCACTGGCCTCCGCATCTCATGACGAACGTCCGTAGTGAGGGCGGTCACGTGGTCGCTCGCTGCAGTTGCACCCTTCGTGCCAGTTGTATTTTTCCCGTAGAGACGGGGCTAGCGTGCGGATGTTTTGTCCCTACCCACGGGGTTGCGCTCTTACGCAGGTGTGCCCCTACACAGGTGTGCCCTTGCACGGGTGTGCGTTGGTGCGTGCGTGCGTGGCAGGAGGCGTGCACCAGAATGGGCTGTGCGTGGGGCCTGTGCCACTCCCCGCCATGGCCCCGCGGCCCGGCAGCCATGCCCGTGACGACGCCAAACACGACGGCAACGACAGGGGCCTCGCCGAGCAGAGTGAGTCACCGCTCCTGGTCGCCGATCGTTGCCACTCGTTGTCACCGCGCGCGTGTGCCGTTCTGTCCCGTTTGTGGGGGGGTGGGGGCGGGGGTGGGGGGTGACCCCCGTGTCTTCGCCAAACCGCGATGAAGGCACGGAAACCACAGCGCGGACACCCTCAGCAAAGCGTGTGTCCCTTGCACCCCCCTCAAAAAACTATAACAGGCTCCCCCGTAAACGTAATTTGGCCCTGCTCACACACGCTTCACCGACGCACTATACGTCGCGGCAGCCGTGTAGCCTGAGCTTTTATAAAGAGGGGGGAGACCGGGCATGATACCGCAATGGCTTAGATGCCCATTGCTTAATTATACTTATCATGTTACTTGATTATAAGAGTTTAGAATGGGAGGCTGAGCCTTCAGTGGGGTGGTGGGGGGGGGGGGTTCAACCTCTTTTGGCCACCCCCCCTACTCTCACTCCCCCCCACTCGATGCCACGGGGCTGCCTCGAGGACTTTTGTACACGTGACGGTGGACGAGTGGTGGAGGCGTGAAGGTATGGGAGGTGTTTCTGGTGGCAGCGCATCCCACCACGGGATGGAGGGATGACATTGGCTCACGTGCTGGAGCTCGTGGGATTGTTACATCGCAAGTACCGTAAGAGAATGCCGATGGCTTGCAGGAGGAGGCCTTCATCCAGCAGTGGAGTGAACATCGCCGATGAGGACGACGACGATGACAGTAATCTGTGATTGATGACGATAGAAGCCGATGTAGTCCCCAGGTCTCGGCAGTGCCCGTTATGAAGTTACGCACGGACGGTTCGCGTGATTCTGTGGTCGTGACAGAATGGTTAGTTTGTAATTCATTGTGAAGTTGTGTTTAATTCACGACAGCGGCAAGCGCAAGGACTCGTGACAGCAGTCAGCCTTCATTTGGGCACGGACGCGGCCCAGCGGCAGCATGTTCGCCTCTTGTCGCAGAGGTTCAAGGTTTGAATCCAGCAGCGGCCCCAGTTAATACCGCGGCGTTGTATTAAACGTAGTAATAATACCACGTGCCATCTGCTTCACTCGCAGCGGACGTTAGAGAGATCCCCCCGATGTCATTCGCAAGAGCAGGCCATCGTGTGCCCCCGTTATGGTCCACATTTGAACAGATTCGTGAATTACACTGCAAATTATTTGCTTTGGTAAAACCAAATAGCGATCCTGCTCTCTACTGGTACTCTGTATCCATCTGTGAAACACAGTGGCTGTGATAGCCTTGTGCTGTAACAATGGGGCAAATGGCAATTTATACTAAATCATTATTATTATGATCATCATCATCATCCTCACCTTGTGGGAAAGTCAATGGTGGTTGTCCGATGAATAGACTAATCCCTGCCTTTGGAATGTGGGATTTCCAGCACAGGCTGTGCAGGGGCGGTGCATGGGATATGAGCACCAATGCCTTCAACTGCTCATTTGCACAGGAAACCACTTTTGACTTTGACTCTGGGGCAGGGAGTGGGTGAGTGAGTGGGGGGGTCGTTGGGTGTCGGTGAAAACCAAGCATAAACGGTCTCATCAAATGCCTCTGTCTGACATTGACATTTATATTTCCCCAACAAAATGGCAAGAGCCCAAGGAGCAAACAAGGTGAACTAACGATAATTACGGCGATCATTCCGTAATTATTAAGGCCAAGGTCCAAGAGGTCGTCACGGCCCTTTGCCGTTGAGGCCGCCACACCCGGCCATCGCTTCTCTCCTGCTGCTAGATCCCTTTCGTCACGCGGCGGCGGCGACGGCGGCTTATGATGCATGTGGCTGCTTGTAATTCAGCACTGTGGAGGCAGCGAGGGTTGGCGGATCACGCACACAGATGTCGCGAAACTCCTTTACCGTGAACGTCGGTGAACGTCGAGGTGCCCCATATCCTGGCTCGCCAGGAGAAGGCTTGACAGCAAAGTGTGGTGCCAATGAGGGCGCCAGAGCTTGGGCAATTGTCGGCGACAGTTCTGGCTGCCTTCCTGCTTTGCTTGTGGTGTTCCCGTGTCTCTGGATCTACACATTTGTAACTTTAACTTTGAACTTCAGACCCCTCAGATGGGATACAATCTACATCTGACCTCCAAGGACCACTCTGACAGTCTCATTACTTCTGTCGCCATCTGGCAACTGCCTTGTCAGGAGGTGGGAGTGCCTCCACTTTACCCCACCACACATGGCTGATTAACTGTGGTGTACTGTACTCAATTATACTGCCGGGTGGACAGAGTCGGTGGAGGAGGGGTGGAGAATTTCAGAAACTTGCACCGTCATTTCAGTTGCCATGCGCGGAGATCGAATCTGACCGGCGACCTCTGCATTGCACCACAAATTAGGGATTGCTTTTTTTCCTTTAATGGTGAGAAGGTGTGTTCTTGTGCCCGTGCACGCATGTGTGTGTGTGTGCGTGCGCGATCGAGTGAGCAAGCGGGCGAGCGGATGAGCGAGCGAGTGGGCAAGTGGGCGGGTGAGCATGGGGGCGAGCGGGCTAGAGTGGGGCCGCCCGGGCGAGCAGATGTTACGAGCCGCGGGGTGGCACCGATGGGGGCAGGGGTGGGTGTGTGGCGGGAGGGGCTGGGGGGGTGGAGGCAGGAGGGGGGCACAGGCTGGCAGAGTGCAGGGGGTTTGGCAGAGGGGGTTGGGTGGGTACAGACCAGGCCACGCGAGAGGGGATGGAGCTGTGCGGGGGCGGGGATGAGAGGGATGGGGTTGGGCAGTCGTCCGCCCTTCTCCTCTGGTCCCTTGCTTCATTTGAAATGGAAAAACCTCCTTAGATCGGCCACCGGAACAGATGACTTACGGCCGCAGAGACACTGAAATCCAAGCCAGACCAAATGTTGCGTGGTTATAAATATTTTGTCCTGGGCACCGTGGGACCCGGGATGAGTGATTAGTGGCGATACAGCTTCGTCTGTGCTGCTACATCAGAGCGGAGATTTTTCATATTAACTTTTCTTTCTGCTTTTTTTCTGTCGACCCCCCCTCACCCGCCCCCCACCCCCTCTGCCCCTCCCCTCCGTTCTTCATTACGTATATTTTTTTTTCCACCCTGGCACAGGACCCGGTCCTTATGCCTCAAATTGGCTGTAATAAACCCCTCCACTCACATCCACGCAACTTCATCCGAAAATTAAATTACATTTTAAATCATCGCATTAATGAACAGTTTGGGAAGAATATGAAATTTTGCGAGACACGTTCTCGGGTTTCAGATATCGCACACACACGCGCGTACGCACACCACGCGCACACACACGCACGCACACACATGCACACGCACGCACGTGCACCGAATACGCCGATATGACAAGATGTGGTGACGGTTCCGCGCCACGCGATCAGCATCGCGCGGCGGCGTGGGATAAATCGCTCGCCGATTAGCGGCTCCCAAACCCAGTGCCTGCAGTGCTTGCAGTGCTGAGGCTGTAGTGAGATAGACCCCCAAATAAGTTGATGTTGAAACTTTAACCAATTACTCAGTGATGCTGCTGCTCCATTGGTAGTGGTGCACAAGCATAGTCAACAAACAAAACGAAATCTCAACACCATAAAAGGAAAAAAGGAAAAATATATAATAGATGATGTTTTGGGCAATTTTCCCTTCATGACAGCACATCTACTTCACCTGTGTGGCCGATGTAGATGCAGAGCAGCAACTACAATTTCACATTCAGGGGGTCAAGCCAGATAACAACGTCAGGAGCAGCGGAGTGTAATTGCTGTGATGTCTCCTCTGTATTTGTGGATTCGGGCATTGCGTCGTTATACGTTGTACGGTCTGTTCTGGATGACTGCAGTTGCACGTTGGAGATATGAAAATTTTCCATTTGGACATCAGGTATCCGCATCTGCCATGGTTTGTGTGGACAATCAAACCCAGGGATCTTCTGAGTTGGGTCTTTCACATGGCACTGTGATATGAATAAGGGTCGTTGCATGAAACGTTTCCTATTATTCATCATGTTTCCTTTAACACCACAGCGTTATTAATGGCGATTGTTGTCAAGATGTAAAGCGATTGTCTGCTCAACTGAGCGTCATCTCACATTTCAGTGCTGGTTATTCTGCATTCCTACGGCGGGGATGAGTCGATCCATAGGACAAACGCTGTTAACTTCCCCACAAAAGTGGTACTACTCATTTTGTCGTCGTCTGCAGAGAGGCGGCGGGGCTGATTCTGAACCCCTCCCAACTGGGATGTGAACTCGCAACCTTCCGATGGCGAGCCGCCCGCTCTACCGCTGAGCCGCCCATGGTCCTTCGATGCGGACGAGCAAATCCGTGCGATGTTCCTTCTCAGTGAATTTTCTTTCGGAGACTTTTTTCTTTTTCTGTTTTGATTAGAATATTTGAATTGTAAAACAGAACAAAAAAATTGTACATGTATGTATAATATATACTGTATTTATATATATGCCCGGATGATGATATCGCGTCCGACGAGGAAATTGAGTGATGAAAATCAGCAGGTGGGATCCTGAGTCATGGTGACAGTGTGGGGAAGCCTTCATCCAGCAGTGGATTGATCATGGTTGATCTGATGATAACGATGGTAACGGTGATGTTGATATAATTTATACAAAGAGCCACCACGGAGCCTCTTGGGTCTTTCACGCAGGGCCTGCTGCTGTCCACGCCTGTTAACCCATTGCAAGCACAATCCTCTTTACCCAGCCCCCCTGTGTACTCTGTGATTATTGCTCTCATTTCTTCCTTCCATTTTCTCTCTTTCCTTTTATCTTTCCCGCTTTAGATCGCAACTAGGTTATGTATGTATTTACTAGCTGTACCCACCCGGCTTCGCCCGGGACTTGGATCCACCACGCCCGGCCGCCTTTGTCTCCCAGTGGCGATGTTCACACACCACAGCAGTTACTCGTTTGAGGCTGAGTCGACCTAGTGGAGGCCCAGGACCGGTTGAAATAATCGTCACCGGTGGTGGCCGTGAGCGGGAATCGAACTCGGGTCGCCGGGTTCGTAGC